ACGATCATGCGCGTCGAATTGCATTTTCGCCGGTGAGATCGCGCGCCGCGCTCCTGTAAACGACAAATAACAATTACCACCCATGGGCCACGAGCGACGACTCGTGATAACTGTGTTTGGCCATGGTAAACATGTAAACGCCACCGGAAGGTTTATAGTGTTTTTTTCCATTTCGCTCAACGGATGCAAAATTCGCTGCGAGACGAGCACGACGTACTCTCTCCTTTCCTCTCCTTTCTCTCTCTCTCTCTCTCTCTCTCTCTCTCTCTCTCGTTTTCTCTTTTTTTCTCATGAATCTGATCTTGTCGAGCGCTTCGTTTAAACCGAACTATTCCCAATTATTTTTTAATTAGTGTTTTAATAGCTTGTTAAATTTTCGCGAACAATTCGTGGAAATTGTATGTTTACTGTTACTGTGGATGCTACGCATGAAAATATATTTCCCGCTCTTTCATTATTCCGGTTACGGAACGCAAGGTTATAGCATAAATTGTTGTAAAACGTTTTATAGTGATTATTTCATTTGCTAATGCGTTACGTTGAATATATTTATTCATACGTATTTCTTTCGTTTCTCATCGGAGAACGAACGCAACATTTTTCCCCTTTTCGTTTTGCAACGGGGATATGAAATAAACGTTGCGCGAAAAACATTTGTTATTACAGTGGATTTTTCGGGGGTTTAGATCTTGCGTTGTACATGAAAACTATGTTTACGGATCACATAAACAGCCGGCGCGTATTAACAGTATTCGTTTTGTTCATTTCACGCTTTTTTACGCGGACCGGTTTTATCTTGGTTTTCTAATCCATCTTCTGCACATTCAGGAACGACCTCGGAGCGATAAAGGGCGCTTATTTTCCGGATTGTTACAAGTGCACCTTCATCATTCTTTACGTCGACTGTTGGCGGAATAATAAGCTTTTGCCTCGGTTCTTCCGACGCGAGATTTTTTTTGCGACTCACGTCTCCCTCTCCCATCGATTTGCTTTGAACATAATTTTTAACTGAGACGTGTCACGACATCTTTGCAATTATTTCAATTATACTGTGTCTCACCGCGCTATTCATATCGGGATTTTATTCAGCGAAAGACTTTATCGCGACAGCGTACCGCTCCAGTTCTAATGATAATGACAAAACCCATTTTCTTTCCTTTCCAGTCGACTCGATCCTTTTATCCTCCAACTTCTACTTCGAGCATTGCGCCATTATAATTATTCCGCGAGCTTCTTTCTTTCAACCGGGCATTGACGGAATAATTAATAAGCATCACGCTAATTACTCAGCGACAGAGTATTATTAATATTTTCTTCTCACCTTTACGCGGTAATACACTCGCGGTCACCGACCGTAACGATTAATCATTTCACACAGGTACATTTCTGTACGTTTATTTCTGTATCCGCTCCTTTCTTAGGTGACACACGTTTATTTGCAAAAACCTATCACATTCTTACACAATGTCACTTCAGAGTGTCGTGTCTCTAATTAAAAGTACAGCAATCGTATAATGTCGAGGGAACGAAGAGACTTTCCAAGTTCATTATATCTTTACGTCCGTGTTTTTTTTTCTGCGATGCAGCGCGGTATTCTTACTTACAGGGTAAGCGAGGATTCTCGCGGGGCGAAAAATTCGGGCCGGTAAGAGAGAGTCGGTCGATATCGTGGGCGAAGCGCGGTCATCCATGCAGCGACCGGATAACCGGTCGAGTCACTGAAAAATTCCATCTTCCCATCCGGATATCCCGGGAGTCCTATCGGGAATAATCATCGAAAGGGAAGCAAAGAAAATTAGTTTCGATCGCTCGATCCCTAGTTCGGTATCGTCCGCTCTCGACCGACGAATTTCCGGGACGGGATTTACGCGACGGGTTTTATCAACCGCATACTAAAATATTCAATTATGTGCTTCTCCATTTTTTCTCCCTTTTTTTTTTCTTTTACTGCCAGGCTCCACGACCGGATGTAAATGTCGAAAAGTCGCGACGAATATCGCGTCGCGCGTCGGGAGACTTACTGTTAATCCTTTGTTCTCCCCAGTGGGAAAAACACTCGCGAGTTCTCGAGTTTATGCATTATTGCCGTTATAACAGGCTACAACGAGAAGTATTAATTGTATAGAAAATTAATCCCTGAGCTGTGAGAGGCTCGTTCGCTTGTAACGTTTGTGTATTAAAAAGTTTGATAAAGAAATATATTCATATGTATGTAAAATATGTATATATAGTGTTCATAAAAAATATAAATTTATACGTTGGATCATATTTATACACAATGTGTTAATGGGACCAAGTAGATAAAAGAAAGGTTAATATAAATTTTTGTTCACATGGAAAGAACGATTTTATTGATATATCTAAAAATTTAGATCTGTGAAAATAATTTTATCGAATCATCAGAAAAGTTATGTAGAAAATTCAAATATGATGTTTGAGAAGTTTTGACATTCTAGCAACCAGTTTGAGCGTTCTACATAATTATTTTTATATTTTAACGAAATTATTTTCAGATCTATTTCTAATTAAATTTTTAGTCATTAATTTTTTCCGCAAAAATGCTTTTTATTAAAGAGTTATAAAGATTAAAAAATTTATAAACAGAAGTATTCTTATTTGTAATGGTTTAGACAAACTATTAGAAAGAGGGGATCAGCTTTAGGAATATATTCAAAATAATTTTACTACAATTTCTATAATAATACAGTAGGAACATTCAAAGGAATTCGACATTATCATTAATTTGACGAATGGAAATTTGCATTTTTGCTGAAGAAAGAAATTTCAAATAATTATTGTAATTATTTATGAAACATTTATGTACCTATAGATCAAGATATATAAGCAACCGAGAGTTATTTGCTTCTGACTCGGTAATTTTGTTTAACGAATTGTAAGAACAATTCTACTTGCAATCTTTGAACGTTAATAAAACATTTTGATCATATATGGATTTTTTTCAACTAGACTTTATTAATCCTATCTATACACACTGGGATTCCAGAAACCCCAGTGCAATTTACTAAATCGAAATTTTTTCGTGTTTCTAAACTTTTCTTTTTCTTTGAGCTTATGTATCTCAAAGCTCCTTAATTCTATACATTATTTTTATACACTATTTATACATTACTTGTTTCTTAATCAATTCTCCATCAATTGAAAAAACAATTAATTGAAATATATCCATTTTTATGGAAGTTACGTTAACAAATATGGGGTCCCAGGGATCCGAGTGTGTATTAAGGATAGAAAAAAGAGTGTATATAGCTAGGGTTATAATACAGTATAAATTTGGTATCTTTATAAACACTCTGTATAGGTATGCGAATGCGCTAGGAATTGTTGTTCCTCTAATACGTGCCAGCATTGCTAAATTTACGAGCGAAACATCAGTTGTTTTTCATTCTCTCGGTGAATTATGTATCCCCGGTAAATATTTCATTAATACAATTATGTTATATTGGTGCAAATATCATGTACTGAACCATCGTGTGATAGCGTGCGATTATATCCGTTTATATTGTATTATTGTGTAATATTATCAAAGTACTATTTGCTAGATATATAGAGCAATAATAATATGCGAGTACTGCGAATAATCACCATGTATACGTTTGCCTGAGTTATTAACGCTTCATCATTTATAGATTATACATTTTGTTTTACTTCCTGTGTTTAGATTTCCATTGTTTAGAAAAAAGAAAGGAAAAAGGTAAATAGGTTATGAGCGGCATTTCGACATGACGCATGTAGCTGTCTCCATCTCTTTGAAGGTTGCGCATTAGTTTATTATTTTCAATCTGCGGTTCGCTGACTTTCACACGTAATGAACGGTATTTACGAACCGCATCATCATCTAGTTTCCGCTGCGCCATGGACCGAGCCGTTTTGGTCTGTTTATCGAAATCTGCAGCCTTTCGCGAAATTGCGTTTAAATAACAGTCAATACTGATCGGTGAAATGATTTGTTGTTTGCACATTTTCACAAGATATTGGCTCATTACTCTAATAAGGCCGACTAGATTGTTATCATGCGCTTTATCGATACTCAATCCGGTTTAGACGATCACACGCACACGCAAGGAGCACACAAGGATACATTCCAATTACGTCGATCAATTTCACTTATCCATTTGAAAAATCACCAGCCTTTACTTTCTTCGGCTCGTTACTTTACTCTTCCTTTCAACGTAGCAAATAGTCATTACACTCTTATTCTTAATTAAACGGATGATAGTTTCTGCTATCGTTTTGTGGAACAACAGTTTCTAAGCGATAGCTTTATCAGAAAAACGCAAACAATTAGAGACTCGCACGATAGCTGACTGCATGATAAATGAACTTGGCATCGACATGTATCAACGTTCTGACTGTGATTAAAGACTGAGATCTCGTTTTTCAAGTTTTACGATTTTAAAGTTGCACAATTTATTCTTACTAAGAATATTATTCCTACTGACAGTAATTTTAAAAAATAATAGTATCAAGGCACAAACTTATATTTTATTCTTTAAAATATTTTAAAATCTTTAAAAAATAAAAATTAACTTTTGTTTAATCGTCACACAGCATTTTTACAGTAATTCAATCGTGATTACTAAGAATAATTCTAAAAATAATAATATTAAGAATTAGGACACATTTATATTTTATGTTTTAAAATATTTTAAAAATGAAACATGATTTTTTGTTCGATTCTTTCACGTTTTTATAGTTTTTATAGTGTCGTGAATACTAAGAGCAATTCTAAAAATGAAAGTACTAAAAATTAGCACAAATTCAAATTTTATATTTAAAAATATAATATTTTAGAAGGTTTAAAAAATGATAAATGTTTTTTTGTTTGACGGCGTCGTTTTTATAGTAATTTGTGATAGTGCAAAAATCTCGCGACAATGTATGATAAATGAATAATGAAAAAAGTTTCATTTATTAATTCCTGCACTTTAATAACGTACACGTTTCGAAGGTAATCAGCAAATTAAGATCTGTTTACTCACCGCCAATGACAATGAAATCGTATTGGTACTCAGGTGGAATTTTCGGCTGTACACGCTCGCACGTTTGAGACACCTTCTCTTGGGATCGTATAAGCATATCCAATATCGTCATAAATATCAAATATTGTGATCCCGGACAACCTTGGGCAAGACTCGGTCCTGATATCGGGCATTTTGGACCGACTGACACATTAAACGATGACATTCTGCGAACAATGATTATTATTAGAGTGTCTGCAGTTGAAGGATAATTGTATTATTAAATGGAACGAACGAGTTTGCTGAAGCATCTAAATAAAGTTTAGCTGGATGTAGATCTAAAAGTAATTTTGTTGAACCATCAAAATAATTTCGTAGGAATCTCAAACATGATAAGCAGTGCTGCAAAACTTTTGACATGCTAGCTTGAGGATTCTACGTATTTATTTGATATGATGATCCAACAAAATTATTTTCAAATCTGTACCTAGCTAAAATTTTAGATGCTTCAGCAAAATCGTATTTCATAACATGACTCGCTCCACAAAAAGGATTATTTTGCTATTGGTTTTATTAATTGATATTAATTTGGAATATATCAGTAAACAATAGTGCCAGTCAGAGTCAACGCGTATAAATTTTATTAGTATAATACAGAAAATTATAGATGTTTCAATTCAATGTTTCTGATCCTTCTCAGTATATTAAAAGAATTAAAATAAAAAAAAGTTCTCTTAATACCGAATATATTATAGTTGTCATGTAAAATGCAACATTAAGAGAAAATAATCTGCGACGAGAAGTGGTATTATGCAAGATATTTTTTTACAAGATGTGTACTGTTAGATGTTTTAAATTTAAGTAACATGTAACGGAAACTTGTAGTCATGAAGATAACTCAAAAGTAATAAATGATTTAACTGAACATTAAGTTACAGTAGTCTTAAATGTAATGAACATATGCATTAAATTGCATGCAAACCAATATAAAATTTTATGAAAAGTATTTTAAATTTAATGTAATGTCATGAAATTAAATTCATGTAACGGAAGCTTGTGTAATTTAAAAGTACATTAAATTTTATAATATTTTTAACAGCATTGTCCAAATATATATTAATTGAATTTCCAAATTAACAGAGAATATAAATAAATTAAAAATAATGTACAATTTTGATGAGAATAATGAAATAATTCTGACTTACATGACAAGTGCCTAGGTAAATCAATTATTCACGTAACAGATCGAACGCTCAAGCACATGTGAAAGTTATGATCAAACCGAGGCATATATAAACACCTCAAAAGACAACAAAAGAGGAAAGCATTATGTCTTTGTCTAAATAAATTTAAATATAGTAGGTCAAGAGATCCGTTTTATTTTTAGTATTCAAATCGTTAACTTGTTTCTTTATAAAGAAACAAATTTGGTCGGAATATATGTAGCGAAATGCAGAAATGTCTCTATCATGATTGCTGTTATATATGTTATTTGTCACGTTTATCCCCCGTCATGTATATCTGTCGATTGTAAAAAGAGACGACGGCGAGAGTGTGATCGTAAATTGATTGCGATATTTGGTACACTTAACAGATCAATGGAAGTGCAATAACGCGAAACCACGTAAAGCCACGATTTACGCGTCGCATGACGGCACGTGAGCCCGCAATTCCAACTATCGTACAAAATCATATTTAATTGGCGTTTACTAGCTGCCTGTCACTACGACATTTCGCACGATTTCTAGTTTTGTTTTTTCAGAGGGAGTTAATGTTCGTATCTGTTGCAAGCGAATCGGAGTCAGGGACTTTTATCGAAACTGTCGTGTAAACTCACTTCCCCGCAGAGGAACTTGGCGCGAAGGAAACACCTGTCAAGTGAAAACCCATATACCTCGTTTAATTCTAAACGAGGAATCTGTCGTTTTAATGTACAATATATTACTTAATATTTCGCGTTCGAATTTAAGGCCCATCGATTATTCATTTCTTGTTTTTAGACGAGCAATCTATGTCGCGATATTAATTACCATAAGCCGTCGTCCGCGGCGACACGCACGCAGCGGAGGAACACGGCGTTTAACATAAATAAATATTCCCTTTAATTAACGGGAAGAGTTAATAGCATTGTAATTAACCGAGCGTGTTAATTAATTCATCCCTAATTAACACTACTGCCTTTCTGTACCATTACGCGCGTGCATTAGCGCCCGGAGGAACGAAATACGGGGCCACAAAGAGTCATCGCGATCTAAGCGCAATGATTATCGCGATCAATTTACGTAATTCGTCGTTCATGCGCCGTACGAAAATCACATATTACTCCTTCCGCCGATGCGGGGGAGCACCTCCGTGAAAATCGTGCCGATGTTAATTAACATGCGCTAATTTCGTAACGTCGAAACCCCCTCGGGTCACGTGAATCACGAATGACACGAATGGGATCGCGTTTTATGTCCACCATTTATAATGTACACACATCAAACTGTTGAACATGAATATGGCGAATGCGCGTATGATTTATTGCAACCGAGCTACAACACGAGATTGTGTAAAAAAGAGAGGGGGGTAAAAAAAGAGGAAAAACATGAGGGCCCGCGGTGAGCGCAGACACAAATCGATAAGCTCCCCCGTACTCTGAAACCTTTTTCTGCGAGAGCGGGATGAGTTCTCGAGCGTTAACAATCATACAATTTAGATATCGCGATAACGCAGGTGTTGCCGAGGGGGATTAAAATGGCAAATTGGGATCAGTGAGAAGAAGTCAGGAAAAAAAAATAACGCGGATTAACTCTGAGTTGTGAAACATTTCACAAAAAAAAAAGAAAATGATACTAACGTTACACTGGCTAGGGAGCACAGCTTTTCTCTTGATGAATCTTTTGTCGATGCACTCCGATACACACGTGACCCGGGAAAAGCTCACACGTGCAACGCGCGGCTTTGATGCAGCAAACGGGCAAAGTGTAACTGTAAGACCTCTCACTGTAGAACCGCTACTTTATAATTCATCTCCCACTCTGTCAGTCCGATTTCCCGCCGAAGGCACTCACCATAGATCACGTCAATGAATCCGCGCGATCGTAAAGGAAAGGAAAAGTCCCGTGTAATTTTTGTTTTTATCTGGAAGAGAGGTATGTCTCGGTAATAAATGACAGACGATCGATAATACGTGACGGCACTTTCAAAGTTTTGCACGAAGAAATATGATGCGTAATACAACTCAAAGTCTAACAATGTAACGATGATGCGATTTTGGAAATTCCAGCGATGCAGTTTCAGAAATTGAGAAAATTGATATCGGTATAAATTTGAAATTGTTCGTCCTTTTATTATCTCTTTAAAATTGTGTAAACAGAGATCGAAGTTTCAAATTATAAATATTGGAGAAATGAATCTAAAATAAAGTCTTTATGATAAAAATTCTCATCTCTTAGATATTTTCATATCGAAGTTTATATGCTGTAAGCAATATTAAGTATTACAATCGATGAATAAAAATGAGGTATAATGATAAATGAAATAATATAAACGCGAAGATTGATTATCTACTTATAAAGTAAATCGTTTCTCGTTTCATTAAATGCGATTTTATCTTGAATGAATGAAATGTACGTTTTTTGCTGCAGTTTGGTTGTTATTTCAATACGACGAACTCAGTGGAATAATTCAATCTTCACGTTAGAATTCTGCATTGTGCATAAAATATTTGTAGTAATATGCGAAACTGCGAGTCTCATCGTAAAATATAGTGTGTCCGCGCAATCGCCTAAACATGATAACATCGATAATAGGAACGGGACATATAAAATTTATAATTAATGTGTATCCATGAATCTCAATCAATTCAGTATCTAGATATCATTGAATCGAACGGTAATCGTGAAAGTCACGGACTCATTTTATGTAGGTAATTGTAAAAACTTGGTTCAATCACGTATTAAATGCATAATAAATGATACCAAAAAATAACCATATCTAATCAATCGATTATGTGGTTGAATTGCTTAGTTTCAAAGTAAGCAACATAATGTGAATATTACTTTGAAACTAAGCAATTTAATACAGATATAGATTGATTAGATGTGGTTATTTTTTTTACATTATTTTTTTGTGTTGTAACGGTATCTACAACTGTGTTTAGCATTCAAGTTTATCATCACGTTATTTGAACTCGAATACCTACTGCAAAAACGCAAGACTGCAGGATTCGTTCTCGCGCTTCGACTTTGACTGTGCGTTTTTTACTAACTCAGCTAGTTACACTGAGAAAGTTGTTGATTTAAAAAATATTAGTTGATTCCACTGTGGCGGTTACGGGCTGCCAAGTAAATATTTATTAATTCAAACAAATAACTGTTTTAAAAATTAAGATTTTGTTAACATAACTCATGTATATCTAAATATATAAATACTTGAACTAAAGAATTACACTGTTAAATCTATAGTGTTAAATTTAACTTAACGTGAGTCTCCTACTTAATCATATCGTTATTTTATACTAAAACAATGGTTATATTTGATACTATACAGTGTCAATTTGATATTATATAGTGTTAAATTGACAGGATATAGTCAAATTTAACTATCGTTTTGGTAAAAAATAATGATATATTTAGTAGGAGTAGTGGCGACTCACGTTAAGTTAAATTTGACACTATAGATTTAACAGTGTAGTACGAACTAAACGCATTTAGTCAAATTAATAATTTTTCTTCTCAATGTAATAGATATCATATACGGTCCGATTGAGAGCTTAGAATCCCACCGAATTCTACAGTAAAGACGGCTATGAAACCACCTAATTGCGGAAGACGGAGAGAAAGTAATTAACTGTGTCGGACGAACCTATGTCCGACGACATAAACTATAACGTCATCATTAAGTTACGCGCCATCGGAGTCATCCGAGCATTAGTTGTTACGCATAATCGAAAGTTATGTGTTGTGCTGTAACTTTCGATCTGTGAAATTAATACATTTTATTAAAACAAAAAAAATAATAACAGGTCCAGTAGCATTTTTTTCATAGTTCTACAGTTCCTCATAAAAAAATGTTCTGTATATTTTTTATAATAAAAAACTAAAATTATATATTTATATTAATGAGATAATTTGCAATGGCTGTGATTCCTTAAATTACTTAATCGCAATTGCTATTTACGCTGAAGTCTCTCGTCGCTCGTTATCACTTATGATAACTTTCAATATACGTTTGTATGCACAAAATCAGCGAATGACAAATAACAATACGAGATATTATCTGACGGAATGATAGAAGAATTTAATCTATAAACAATTATAAAATTTAATCTGTAGATAAGAATGCAAAAAGACACTGTATGTGAGAAATAGAATTATAAAAATAAAAAATAGGATATATATAAAGCAAATAGAGTATTATTTTACATTCATTGTTTTTCTCTCTTTCTCAGTTAATAACAATATGACATCATATATGATAAAAAATATAAAATTTTTAAAGTAAAATAAATACATCTTGACTTTTTTATTTCATTAATATCACACGATGGTTTATTTTGTTGTGTATTGTTATATTTTTAGTATTTCTAAAAGTTTGAAAATATGTTTTACAAAGTTTTTCGATTATATTACGATACTGTCATGTTTCGTTGCGCTTAAGGTATTAATTTCGATTGTATTGTAAAAGTTTCAGTTATGTTTATACTGTGACACATTACTGATAAAATATTTAAACATGCAGTAGCTGTTATCAGTGCTGCTTACAACGTATTTTTAATCTCATTTCTAATAATAACAATCACATAGGACGCGAAGGTGCTTGCCTTTCTGTCATAACGCATTAATGTAACGTTAAATCAACGTTACATCCTCACAGACGTGCTCACGCGCGCGATCGTAAATCATAATTCTATAATTTTAACTCAGCGGTGTAATAAATAAGGAACATATTATTTACGTACATCGCGCTCATTTATTCACGCAGTCACGGAGCGTGAAGCGCCCGGTGTCAGCGAAATGCGGAACAGCGTATGTACTTCTTTGTACACGCAATTGAGGCATAACGCGCGTCTGAATGATGACCCTTAAGCACGCATACGTGCGACACATTCTCTCGTGAATCACATTTTTTTTTCAACCCATGAAATCGTTTGCGTAATTAATGATCAACCCTTGATATCGCGGATAGCTCGATAAAAAGCGGGGAAGAGGGCTAATCGAAATTTTCCAATTAAATAACAGAGTAAGTGAGCTTTTATGTCTTTGAAATGGCGCAAAAAAAGACGAACGTTACATATGATACATTAAATATGCATAGAGCGCGAGGCGATTGTCGCATTGCGACTGAATAAATCACAGATATCTATTTTCTGATCTGAATATTAATACATGTACACACACAAATACACATGTGCGTTTGCTTTTACACCAGATTTTGGAAACTCTCGAAGATCACGTTATATCTGTGCAGTATCTAAGTTGTTTAAAAAAATAATTGCAAGTATGTATAATCGATAATTATTCTGTATAATTGCTCTGTACACTGTTAAATCTATAGTGTCAAATTTAACTTAACGTGAGTCGCCACTGCTCCTACTCAATCGTATCGTTATTTTAGACTAAAACAATGGCTATAGTTAATATTATACTATACAGTGTCAAATTTAACATGTAATATTTAGTAGGAGCAGTGGCGACGCACGTTAGATTAAATTTGACACATAGATTTAACAGTGTATGATTTATATTCTGTCAAAAAAATCTTGGAACGTTATGTATGATATGACATTTTTTGAATTAATTATACTTCGAGTAATTTACGATTCATATCCGATTTCAGGATATGACACTATTTATATTTTTACATGTCGTGCATCTTGTTTTTTCGTTCTTCTTTATTACATTATAATTTCTTTTTCATTACCCGTCACCTAAAAATTGTAAATAGAATGCTCATAAAATTATAAAAAGGGTTTCTAAAATAGGGAGGTTTTATTCGACGGCGACAAAAAAATTTTACTTTCTTTAGGAGTGTATACTACGGAATCATAATATTCGGGACGCTAATGGTGTTAAGAATATTTAATAGTACTTTATTTTGCACACCGTTTTTTATTCTTGGAACACAATAGATACGTTTATATAATCACATAAATAGATAATTTAGTAACACGTGTAGCCACGTTTATGTGTTGCAAGATATTCATTTTTAGCTGTGTGATACTCTAATTACTATTGTAAAATGTTTTTCGGTGTTCCAATAATACTATTGAAACAAATGCTTACGTAGATGTGCATGATACCTCGTAAGTGCTCGAGGCCAACTTAATTAAACAAGAACTCTTGTGTTAGCAATTAACATTACTGAAACATCAAATAACATTGAAGAAATATTTAAGGAACAGATGAATTTTACATTAAACATACAAGATGTTATCCCAGATAAAACTTAAGAGTTTTTAATTAAAAATATTTCTTTCTTATAACATCTGTGTCAATTCATTTGTGCTTGCCATGACTAAGCATGGCCATGAGTCCCATATGTCTTTCTAGATTCGATTATGCATTTAAATGGAAATTATTAACGCAAACATTGAATTATCATCGCATTCGGGACAAGATTATTTTCGCCGGAATGTAATATGCGCGTTAATTTCGCACGTGTTCGCCACCGCATTATTTCGCGAAATAACGCGCCGGGGCGCGTTCGACGTACGTATATTAATGGAATCGCGGTAATCCGTATAGTTTACGAAATGGCGGCGCCCCACGGGCATCCACTGCTTTAACACACCATGTCAATTTAACGCGAAACAATTCGATCTTCGCGGACGAATTATTAACGCGGTGCCATCGCGCGAAAAGTCGCGTCGATAAAGCGCGCGAAACGACATTCCCTCATCTCTCTCGTGGCAGGTAATCACGATACAATAATATAATTGTATGCGTGTATATATAAAAGATAACGACGTCGTGCACTTAAT